TGATTTTTGTGCGTTTTGGCTTGCAAAGACGCATATACTGTCGAGAGGTCGTCCGCGTATGTGTGTGTTTGAAAGTGAGTGGACTTTGTCACCCACTTTCAACTTTAACAACCAAGAAAGCTGGGAGACTGAAATTTTAGGGTCATATTCCCACCACGTATGTCACTGTTCCATTTTAAAATCTTGGCTTATACGCGCCTAAATCTCGCGTACGGGCCCGCGAAAAAAAGATGCAGATTTCTTTGGCGGGGAAAGATCTCGTTAACCAGCTACGACAGAAAGTCCAAACTTCGCAGGGATATTCGCTGTGCGTGTACGAGCTAAAGATTTCAAACTCAACTACCGCCCGCGCCCATACCGCGCTTGCGGTTGCGTCAAAGTTTGCAGTTGGCACTGTGCTAAATCGAAAACTAGCCGGAAAACAATAGCTAAAATTTTATCAGAGTATTTACCATTCATATGGGAGGGCGTATATCTAAACTGAGTTTCGATTTTTACCTGCGCCATAACTTAGGGCACTTCAAAGTTATTTGTGGCGAAGTGACTATTTCGCTTATCAGGCAAGCTGCGAAGTTGGAACTTTGCAAGGATATTGTGTAGTCAGATGTGGTCTTAGTTCAGCTTGAAGGTGAAGTTCAGCTTGAAAATGTTTATTTCCTGGAAATAAACATGAAAAATACTCAATTTTATTGCTCACCCAAAAGCGAGTCCATTTTTCGGATTTCATAGCCCTCTTCCGACTTCTTTCAAATTTGCACTTTTTCAGTGAACGAGCATTTACTCGAAAAACGATCGGGCTTCATGCAAAAAACTGATAATCATGCACGCTGAGACCATATGGCCGCATAATGCAACGCCCCTACCCCAGTTGACACCCTTTTCCCTGCATGCTGGAAGAAGCGAAACACAGCCAATATGAGTCTTTGTTAAAATACATCGCAGGAGTCATTTCTACCGTTAGCAGTTTGTAGGCTTAGCGCGGAAACGCATGATTGTACCGGCAAGCCCGGTGCGTTGCAACCTGGATTAATTTTTTAATAGCTATCCTCTTGCATTTACGTATGCAAATTCATTGTTATTGACTAGTTGCAGGTGCTTCCACGGCAAACCTGTGGCCTTTACACTCATACGCAGTTTTTCCATTCGTATCCTGACGGTTTCACGAAACTGCTGAGTAACATTGAAGGCGGTGATCTCTTTTTTACTATATTGCTCAATCCGGTGAGCATCTATGAATTTTTTTAAATCATCTTTTCACTTTTCTGTCATTTTAATACTTTAATACACAGTCATAAGTTTGACTTTCTTTCGAGGAGAATATCATTTTCTGTTTACCAGATTAAGCTGATCATGAACATAGGTGTGCGCGGTATCTTAGAATATCCCAGCAGCATAATAAATATGGTATTACCACACTAGTTGTTCAGTCTTGATGTTCTCGATAGAAATAATTTTAACACATTGGATGCAGGGCGCGCAGCAGCCGTAAAAAGACTAAAAGTTTTAGTTTTCGATATTCATGACGCACCAGCAGAATTATGCGAATGATCGTCTCGGCATTTT